TCTCTCTCTCTCTCTCTCTCTCTCTATATATATATATATACATAAGAATGGGCAGGGGCGACCCTATCGGCCAACCCCCGCTTCTGAGGGCGGCCCAGTGTGCAAATAATTCGAGTACCATATGGCTTAAGGCGACACTGCATCACCAGAGGATTTGAACCCGAGACCTGATGAGACTTATGACCTCTAGAGATGCTGCTATATATATATATATATATGGGTATTTGGTAGAAGCTCAAATACCAATTTCCCATGTGTTAGGCCTCATGATGAGAGCCCGTGTCATGTGCCTAAATATTCAAGAACCAAACGCCACTGAAGATCGAATCCGTGACCTAAGCAGACCTATAGTGAACTCGCCAACCAACAGGCCACGACTTGCGACATAACATGTAAATCATGGATACACACACAAATATATATATGAAAGTATTAATGTTAACAATTCTGTGGTATATATGTAAATCTTCGGAGTGGTTGTAGGGTTCTAACATGTCATCGCCAGTCTGGCTGCCATGTTTTGGATTCTTGCGAAGAAAAAAGTTTTGCCTTTTATGGAATATGTCCTTAAATTACTGGGAACAGTTTTCCTTTTTTGGAGTGGGCAATTGGGAAGACGATGGAGAAGCCCATGCCCATGTTCTTCTTTCCTTCTACTTTTTAGTTTTTTATTTTTACATAGGCTTCATGTTCGCATATTTGTTCTTTGTCACGGCTAAGCTATCATGAGGTTCGCCAATAAAATAGATTATCTTGTGCTTCATATTCTATTTTATACACCTTTTATGGTTCCTTTTTCCTAAGTCAAAAGAAAGGAAGGGGTGCATTATTGAGCTTGATATTCTAAGCTACACCATCCCACTCATGATTTAGAAAATACATATTTGTGTTGGGTTATTAAGTCTCTTTTTTTTTTTTGTAAGTTAAAAATATTACATTCATCTACGCTCCCTGCTTCCTGATCACAGCCATCCATCAACTCATCCAAATAAAGTATGTATAACAGTGGGTCCCACTTTTATTAATTTTTTTAAAGAAAAAAAATTAAAAGGGATGGTTGTGATTGGAGAGCACACGTAGCTCTGTGTATGCTCTCTGTATGTAATAATTTCTCCATCTATTAAGGGAGTTACAAGTACAAGAAGTTTTTAAGTACATTAAAGGTTACAACTTCAAAAAAACAAGAAACCGAAAAGAAATAAAGAAGTCTCTAAAGTCCAAAGATTTATAGTTGATGAAGCAATAAGAGCGATTCTTCTACAAAATCAGTAAGTTGCTTCTAAATCAATCTGCATCCAAATCTAAAATGTGTCATAGCTGTAAATATTTAGAGATAAAGAGCTTGTGAATTTAAGTGTTTTCACACAAATCTTCATATGATTATAACCCCTATTAAGATGAAGGCTTCTCTTACAAGAAAGTTTATCCAAGTTAACTTCCTTAAATCCTAATAGGTTTCAAATTCTCTTGATGGGCTTATCAATCAACCCACAATTAGAAATAAGTGGGTTCTATATATTTCAAATCACAAATTACGTATGGCCCGAGTGCTTACTGATTAGAAGAAAAAACTTCTAAAATAAAATCATCTCTAGTAGAAGCTTCAAATAACATTGATAATCGTTGTTGTGGGGGGCTTCTACACCATCAAAAAACAAAAAATTTGGCTAAACAATAAGTTTACCTCCATAAACCTACTTCTAACCCAATCAAAATATTCCCCCTTACATTTGCATCATCCTACAGGTTATAGTCCTATTCTCATAGGCTAATGTGATTAACTTAGTTGGTTCCATTACTATCCATTCCGAGACTCATAATTCAAAACAAGTTTTAACAACTCATATGACCAAATTAAATGTAAAGGAAGATTGAAAATTTAAACATCACTGGAAAAATTTGTTCAAAGCCAAAAAAAAAAATTCCCCCCCGCCAATCTTACTTCACCATTCCAAGTGAGAAAAAGAGGACTACTCTATACTCATGCTTAAACACACAAACAAACATTGAAAGAAAAGTTAAATGCAGATGTCTTGAAAGTAAAATATTACAATCCACAAAGTAAACTTAAAAAAAAACGATTCTCTCTTCTGCACAATTGAGAACAGATCTAAATACAAGAAATTATCTATCACATTCTCACACCTCACTACTTCTTCAGTTGTTGATCTACTTCTGGCATTCTCCCTTCTCGTTCCTCCCTTGTTCATTTCTCATATTTTTGAATCCTAATTTGCTTCTTGCACATGTCTGCAATTCAACACAAAATACAGTCCAAAAACATGATATAAACATACTAAAAGGCAAAATCAAGACTATAAATAAGCACATTCTATGAACATGGTGAGTGGTCACATCGGGTCTTTGCTTCTTCTGCCTGTTGGGGTGCCAGTCCAAAAGGTTTTATGATCTATTTGAACCACAAAAGGCTCTCAATAGATGAAATATGGTCTTTAAGTATTTAAAATGAGCATCAAGTATATCATGTATAGGAATTATCATCACTTCAACAGTGAGTTCTCCCGAAAGGGCTGAATTGGTACCAATCTCGATTCCTGCTCGAGGCATGTACCAAGAGGTTTAAATGAATGTCTTAAACTACAGGAGGCTGAACAGTGAACACAATGGTGCAACATTCAAGTGAAAATCTCACACATACAATATCAAAAAGTGATGTTGAGAACTATCTATTACTAGCATTCTCAAAATTATTAATTAATATTTGAAACCTAATAATGTTAAAGATGAGACTTTTAAACATAAGGATTTCAAAAGTGTATTATTGATCCACAGTTTTGAATGTAATCCTTGATAAATTTAGTAAGATTGATGATCTAAGGTGAATTTCATCTAGATTGATATCTAAGTACTCATGGCTAATGCTTTACTTTTTGAAGGTTTACTTGTAGTGGGAGAATCAAAATCTTGTTGTTAAGAATCTCTTGTCATGGATCCTTTATTCCACATTGGAAGTAGTATTCAATATGAAAATTATCATATAATTTGTCAAATAAGATGTTAATAAGCAACACTTATTGAGCATAGGTTGCAGTAAGGAGTATACGAATTAGCAATTTGTAGAGAGAGCTTAACATACACCTTCCATTCATTTATTTTATTAGAGGGTAATATATTTAACAGTAGTATATTGCAAAATAAAAAAAACAAAAACAAAAAGGAAGCTCAACCAATTCTAACATATAGCACGCCAAAGGTTTCAACAATAGTTTAATTGGATTGCCTACATTTATCGTGCCATTAATGGTGAAAATATCAATATTTAAGAGAAACTTAATTACAACTATATTATTAGATAGAAAAGGAATACTACGAACTTCAACTAAAAAAATGAATTGAAATAATTCCCCTAAAGTAGCTCATTTCCTTGACTTTTTTTTGTGCACACTTCCTATTATCACCTCTTCTTCTAGTTCCCCTCTCTTCTAGTTCCCCTCTTTATCTGCTTACATGGGTCTTCCTTTTTTTCCTTTCTATGTCATGTATACACCATCCTTTGAATGTTGCTTTCTTGGTGTCCTTTGAATGTTGCTTTCTTGGTGGCATGTATAACTCTAATCACCATCTAAAGTTCCAGCTAGTCCCTTTTAGGCTTTACCACCCCGCTCATTTTTCATCATTTTCTTGGTTGTGGTCTCCCCTCATTCGTGAGGATAACTTTAGTGACTACCCTTTATCATCTAAAATTTACATTTCTTCATGTTCTTTATTGGTTAAAAATCTAACATTGCCCAACATATATTATCAATCAATATTTATCATCATCCAACATCCATTATTTTCAAGGTTTATCATCACATAATAGCTTCCATCACTTGATTCTTTTCATTATTTTATTTTGTTTTTATGTTTTCCATTAATCCATATCCTTTGTCACTTAATTCTTTCTTTCAATCTCAACACCTATGAACTCTTACCATAATACACTCCTCTAGTTAAAGTCTTATTACTTTGTAATTGCATCTTGAATTTTGGAGAGGACTATCCTTTGCAATCTCAAATTTTTAGTGAAACTATTTAACTGAGGCAGAACAAATGATGTTTCACCTTGTTGAGTTTTCTACTTTAAAAATTTCTCTTTATTATATTTATTTTTTCTTACTATGTGGAAAATCATAATTCGGCTAGTTAAAGTCTTATTACTTTGTGATTGCATCTTGAATTTTGGAGAGGAGTATCCTTTGCAATCTCAATTTTTTAGTGAAACATGTTGCACCTTGTCGAGTTTTCTACTTTAAAAATTTCTCTCTTTATTATGTTTATTTTTTCTTACTATGTGGAAAATCATAATTCGAAGCTAACCCAATAAATCTTCTCTTTATCAACACTATACTCTAATATGCAACAATGTCACACATGTTTAAAATAATGTATCAATTAAATTTTTATACTTTTTATAATTATGAATATTTTATCTCATGGTCAAGATAAGGAGGATGTAAGGACATATTCTTATAATTTGGAGTTTCTCACAACCTTAAAAGACCATTAAACATGCAAGAGGATTTGTGCTTCTTTCATTGGAACACAAATCTTCATATATGCTATAAATTGCATGCATGTCTAATGATCATTGATTACTCTTTACAAATCCTTAAATATTCAGCATCTACTATTCATATTTTATTGCATGATGCCAAAATTCTTTAAAAATAATTGCACAAAACTATTAGAGGGTTTAATTTCTCTGAAAAACCAATCAAAATAGGCAATGACATTCATTGAATTAGTAAGCCAGCAACTTATGTTGAGGACTCATTGTGGAGCAAGAAGCAAATGTTTAATATTAATTTCCATTTCACTATCCTAACTGAAATTTTATTTATTTATATATATATATATATATATATAAAGAATTATCTGATGACATCAATATCATAAATATACCATCTTTTAGATGAGCATTAATAGAATTTCAATAATTTAAGCATTGAGACAAATTCTAAAAATCTTGGCTAAAATCAAGAAATTAGATTTATCCCCTCATCTTTAACAATCCATTATTAGATATACCAAAATAAATACAAATCAACAAATTACATAAAACCATGGGTAATAAAGAAAAAAATTGATCAAATGCAAAACAAGATATGCAATAAATGTTTCCTTAGTAATTATTTTGTTCTTCTACCTTCTCCTCTTCAGCTATTAATCTTTCCATTATCAGTCTTCAATCAAACCACAGAAAATTCAACCTGCATCCTCCACAGATTTAAAGGAAGACAAATAAGTAATATACTCAGCAAATTACTCTGAGAAAAGAGCATCCTTCAACACTAGAAACAAGCAGAGGCAAGATGCATTTTCAGTAAAAAAAAAAAAAGTATAGCAAAGCCATCAAATAATCTCTTAGCAATAAGAGAATAATGGATCTCAAGGAATTACAAATGTATGGTCAAATCAAACTAAAAATAAATTTTGCAAAACAGAGGGACCGAAGTGAAGCCAGACCAAAAACATTGTGCTACTCAGATCCAGCGCATACAAAACAATGATGAAGATTAACACAATAACACAAATCAACAATTATAATTGACCGAAATCACTATATTATAAATAGAACCTTGCCAACAACATTCACAAGCCAAGAAGGGTTATGGATCTACGTGTGTACAACCTCTGCATACAAAGCATTAATCTTGATATTGATTTGGCGTGCCAAATGCATTGAGTTAATTTATCATGCTAAAGGCCAAAAGAAGACCAGATAAAGTAGCAGTGGAATAAAAATAAAATATTTTTCTATGAAGCTTATTCATTCTAAATGAAATAAAAATTATTACTTATCTAAACAATTATTCTCAACCTCGAGTTAATGGTGGCTTTAAAATATTTCTAAATCTCATAGGATAGGAAATAGTCCCACCTCCAAATTCATATAGATGTCATTATAAAGCATCCAAAACAGGACCTCATAAAGCATTACCGTTAGTCAACCTTTTTTTTTTTTTTTCATTGTAGCTATTAACACTTGGGCCAAATTAACGAAGAATGAATCAAATTTTGAATTTTGATAGTGCTAGGTGTTGTTACAAGAAGTAATGTGCTAACTCAATTGTGAGTAATAGACAAAAGTTTATTTGGGCATTAGGCATAGATTATGCGTCTCAACATAACACGACTGAGGTCAAAATAGAAAATGTCATGGAGAATGTCAACCACAAGTGACGCACCACAACCTTAATCCACTTGTATTTGAAAGAAAGCCAGGGGGTTCACCAGGTTTAAAACAAAAATTAAATTTGCAATATGGATTTCAGGAAATTTAGAAGAGAGGACAAGAACTGGGGACTATGATGATAAAAAAAATTTAAATATTATTAATTTTTAAGAAACTAAATAAAAAGGGAAAATTTTTCAATTACATAGTATTGTATGTTGAAAAAAATAAACTATAGAAATATGATTGGGATAGTAGCAATTAAAAACTTAAAAGATAAATGTTGACATTTATTGGAGACAGCTTAAATGGACGTGCAAGTTTTAATGGTATGGTTTAGGAGAGAATTCATGATCGGTTTGGTATGATAGAAATAAAATGGGAGAGCTTATGCTTGATGTTGTAGTGCATATAATATTGCAATAGTGGATAAATATTTAAGGAAATAAGAAGGATATTTAATTGCACTGAAATCACATATATACTTCTTTCAACTTAGACGAAAAAAATATTTTTGCAAAGATTGTAAGGTGATGCTTAGTCTACAATATTGAATATTAGTCATAGATATATATTTTATGAGTACAAAAAACAATTGCTCTAATGTAAGAATTTCTTAATCCTTCATGTGAAATTATTAAGAGATAATCTAGAAAATTTTGATTGGCCTAAACCTAGAGTGGGATAATATGGCTAGTTCTATTAAGAAGATTGTTGTAAACATCCAAGTGAGTTTAGAAACACATCTTATGCTAGTAAGGGAACTTGGCTATGAAGTGAAGATTCATATTAAGAGAAATTAGAGGGTGATAAACACTACTTGGCTATATAATTAAAATTAGAAAGCTTGAAGTTCCGCAAAATGATAGCAAGAATATAAACTATAGAATTGAATAATTTATATAACAGGCTACATACCATTAAAGAAAAAAAATGATAATTATAGCATAGTTAAAGCATTATAAAATAGATCTAGAAACATTGAACAAGTTAAAAGCATTAGAATTAAAAATAATAAGAACTTAGCTAAAGATGAAGGCATTACGAGAGGACAAAAATAGTAAATTGAGAAGTTATTAAATAATAGTTTTGAAGAAGAAAACATTTTCAAAGGCCATGATAGAAAAATAGTTAATTGTTGATTGATCTAAATAAGTGAAGTAAAATTAGCTATACAGAAGTCGCATAAAGATAAATTTTTAGACCCACATAAATATCTATAGAGATTTGAAGAATTATTGGAATGTTACAATTGGTTAACAAATCTTTCAATCACATTTTAAAGGCTAAGAGAATCTAAAATTATTAGAGAAGAAGCATTTGAGGATGTAGTGATTATAGAGGAATCAAATTTATAAATATACAATGAAGTTATAAAGAAAATAATGAAAATTAACACTAAGAAAAACTTACGTCAATATATAAGAATTAATTTGGTTTCATGCCAATATTTATTATGGAAGTGATATCTTGTGTTAAGACAGTTAATTGAAAAGAATAAGAAAGGAGGAAAAAATTTCAAATAATTTTTATTAACATTTATAAAACATAAAATAAAGTAACACGAAGATTAATTTGGCATATATTATAAAAAAAATGTCTGTGCAAAAGATACATTAAAGTTAGTAAAGATGCATATGAAGGAGCATTAACTAGTATTAAAATTAGTAATGAAGTAATCAAAAAAGTTTTAATCACAGTAAGATCACATCAATGATTAATATTGAGTCCATACAATTTGGTTCAATTGTAAAGCATATAAAAAATATTCAGAATGAGATATCTTGGTATATGTTTTACATAATTCTAATTAGAAAGAAATGCTAAAAAAAATAAAAATTTTGAATAAAGAAGAAGATATTTAATAGATCGAAATCTCAGATTTAGTAGAGTGTATATATGATATGCAATTGTAATATATATGATATTAACAATTATTAATCATTATTATTAGAAGATAAAGTAAGCGTGCTACAAATAAATATTGTAAATTATTTTACAAAAGAAAAACACAGATGAAAATGAAACTTTTATAAGTTTCGCGATTAAAAAAATTAAATGCCTTGTGAATATTATAAAATAAAAGAATAATATATAAACTTAAAAGCTAATTTTATTAAATTCCAATTTGGTCAACTATTGTATAAAATTGACCATTAGACAACTAAAAAATAGTTTATAGCTAAAATTGAGTGTTATGAAAATGAGAATATTAACATGAAAGCATGAAAAAACAAGAAAGTATAAATTTTTAAATGATTAGAAGGTCAATTAAAGTGATATATATTAGAGATAAGGTACTTGTAAATAGACTCAAGTAGTTTTATATGTAAAAATAAAGGGTAAAAAATACACCTATTAAAAAAGCAAATAAAATTAATGTTTAAAAACTAAAAAGGAAAAGAAAAAGGCATAAGGCAACTTGACAAAAGTTGTCCAAAATGATTTGAAAAGAATATGTTTAACCCCTTGGCAACACTTAGTCAGAGCAAAAAGAAAATGAGTATTCAAACAACTGACCCTGAATAATTTAAATAAGCATGTTGCTGTTAATTATGATTTGTTGCCATAGCTCTTGCAACATTGCGACCACAATGGATATACACAAATGGAACAAGCATTCTCACAAGAAAAATCAGCCAATAAATATCCATGACATTCATCAAACCAACTATACCATTCTTAATAAAATGGAATCCATAGTCAACCAAAATGATGGTGAGCCCCTCAACATCTTCCTTTTTTAACAAATAATTAAAACTTGCCAAAATTTTGCTAAGAAATTGCACAGCTATGGAGAATAAGCATTTAGCCACTAGTGCGTTTTATCTCATCTAAATTAGATATATAATTAGAATTGTTGTGCCCCTCAATTGCAGCAGAAAATCACCAAATTACAAGTGAATTTCAAATATTTAAATAGAGCAAGCCAACCTTCTATATTTCAATTTGTATATATCCACATAATCAACGAAAATTCATATGATTTTGCAGACTGATTTTCTCCTCTGAATTTTAAATAACATTACCTGAGCAAGAAACCTGAGCCATCAATTGACAACAAACAAATATTAGATAGATGATTTTCTCAACTTTCTTTAAGTGTTTTGTAGTTTTTTATATATTACTGTAAATCTGAACTTAGCATGCGCTCAGAATAGGTTACAATGCACTTTCCAAACTCCCCATTCTGCATATCAAACCCGGGAAATAATATGGTTCTCTTGAACTTGTTAGCATAGCATACTGCAGATTATAGGATAGCATTCATCTAGTGCAGCTAATTATAAAATGCTAGGACAGCAACTAAGAATGTCATTAAGGGCAGAAAAGTGGCACGTTTCAATAAAAAAAAGTAGCAAGAACGCATCTTAATCACAAAAGTCAGAAAATTCAACCTTCTTTGTTAGTTATTCTAGCAGTTCTACTAAAGCAAGTTGTAGTACTAGAAGCCAGAACACACAATTTTAACCCAAACATCAAAATCTGTAAAATAGGTCAGGTAAGAATTAACCAAATAATGATCAGGATTAAAAGACTTCATTACTAGATATAAAAATCTCCATTTCCACAGTTTACATTGCCTCAAATTAAAATGTGCTTGCTAAACATACAGAAGGTATTCTTCAATAATTACAAATGTAAGTCATTCAGATATTGCAAGGTGTCGAAGTTAATGGAGAAGAAAAAGATTGGAAGATAAACGATCAAACCATAACTGTCGATTTGCATAGAATTAGCATGTCTATCAAGGGCAACTGAAACATACTAGTACGGTTGTTCCAGACTGAAAGGTATTTAACCACACAGTAATAGAACAACCATAAAGGATAGATAGGAAGAAAAAAAAAGGTTTAAATTTGAAAATCGCCAGCAATTCAATTAAGAAGATGATAGTGAAAATCAGTATCATAATTACCGCTTCTGGGTTTCTTCTGTCTAGATTGCAAACCAACGGAACCTTTACTCTTTCTCCCTGCATCCATGGGCACCTTTCAGCAGCCATCAAAGCTAGCACAATCAACCTATCACCCCGAACTTCAAATGACTGGCCTCCTTCGCTTCCAACTTTTGCCGCTGCATCAGGCATTAGAGAACGCTTTCTGTTAGACTTCTTGCCATCCTTCTCCCCCAAAGGTTTCCCACCTACATCATCCACCAAAATCTTTCCTAAAACATCCCCTTCCTTCGAAATTTTTCTCACAGCATTATTCAATTTCTTCTTCGTCTCTTCAACCACTTTCTTAGACTCCGACCTTTCAGGGCTATGGAGACTTTCGCCATCTTTAACAAATTCAGGTGTACGAGAACTTTTCCTATCAGGCTTCTCTCCATCCTTGTCACCCAAAGATTTCTCAACTACAGGTTTTTTAGAAGTTCTGCTCACAACTTCAGTCAATCCCTCTTCCATTGTTTCGATCCTGTTCTCAGACTCGGATCCTTCAGCCCTACAGAACCCCTTGCCATCTCTAACGAAATCAGGCAAAACAGACCTCTTCCTATTAGCCTTCTCTCCATCATTACCACCCAGTGATTTCCCAACTAAATCACTCTCCAAACTATTTCCCGAACAACTCCTTTCCTCATGAATCCCCCGCACAACATCGTTCAATTTCTGCTCCATCTCTTCAACCCTAACCATCGCCTCAGAAAGTTTAGGTATCTGAGAACTCTTCCGATCTCCGAATCCTTATCATCCCCTATCGAAGCCTCATCCGAGGGTTTGGGGATGCAAACAGTAAGGGGACCGCAGCCCTTGGGAAATTTGCGTATGGCGAACGCAATAGGTGGCTTGAAGATTCTTCCACGATAAGAAAGAAACTCGCTTTCAGGGCCGCAGGAAGTGGGTTCCCGAGGAGGAGCGACGAGCGGACTCAGTAGAGCCTTTTGATCATCGGTAAGGTTTCCGTCTGCCGCCGCCGGCGGTTTAGTGGTGGCCGCCGGACCGCAGAGGGCGGGGAAGGAACGTATAGCGAAAGCTTTCGGCCGCCGGTTCGTTGAGGAACCGGCGAGGGAGGTTAGAGACATTGTGAGTTCGTGGAGTTCAGGTTTAGGCGTCACGATTTTGGCGCCGCATATATATATTTATTGTGTCAGGAAAATATCTTTCTATTGATTTATTAAGAAAGTTTAATTTTGGAAATTTGCGGTTCGATATATTGTGTATATATATATATATATATATATATATATATATA